CATGCCTTTTTTATTGGAACCCAGAATATTTGCTTGGGAAAACACTGAATTTCCAGCTCTCTTCCCATGCTATCTGATTTATCAAAATCTCCTATAGGTTGCTGGACCTATGAAAAAGGGCATCTTTACTGTAATTTATCTGTGGAAATAGAAGGATGAGTACTCTTCTTGTCAAGGGCTTTATATAATACCAGCTGCTATGAGTGGAAATCACAGAGGTAATAAGGGAGTGTATTTTCTCCAGAAGAAATAAGATAATGTTATAATAAGATAAATACATAAATAAACATGAAAATTACTTTTTAACAAAAGACATCTTTTTTATTCTCTGATTTACCCAACCTCACCGCTTACTTACTGTTTTAAGTTTTCTGACCCCAGAAAAGCCATCTCCTCTCTAAAAATTCACAATCCGTTATAAAGGCCATTTTTAGTTCTGGTTATCTGTCACGTCAAGTTCAGCTACACACAAGTCTAGTGAATAACTGATGTTGGACAAAATATCAAAACACTTTTGAAGTTTGAAAGAGTCATATTCTTGGTATTCTAGATCAATGTTAAAAAATAGGCCTTGTTTCATAACAAGGGTCTAATCTTACCACCTTGTTAATCCTAAATCTCAGTTCGTCCAAACAACAGAGTTATTGTTTCTACAACTGCAACACAGCTTGCCTCTATACTTAATTTTTTAATTGATTAAACAACCAGTAATGTTAAAATTGAGATTAGCTTTTTGTAAAAGATGGGATCAGCTTTTATTAAACTATACCATTTTGATGAGTGACTTTATGCCGAAGAGGATAACAGAAAACAAATACGCATTCCAGCAAGGGGTGAATGGTGCTGTCCGGTGTAACATTTTCCAGTTACAGCCATTCTGACCATCCAGAACAAAATTAATTGAATCTAGATAATTTTAAAAATTAAATTAAAGTTTGGACACTGAGCACAAAGAATTCAAGACAACTGAAACAGCTACTGGGAATCTGTTAGTCTGGGAATTAATTAGAGAAGAATAACACTTCTTCCATACATCTACAGAAGTTAATGTTGCTAATTATTATTCTAGCAACTAGCAATAAACATTCAACTAAAACGCACAGCCAGTCCATGAAATCTTCCGTGATAGAAGTATACTCACCATTTACGTGGTCATTGCCAAGGTCTGTCCTATTTCAGTGAGTGTAGGCCAAGAGTGCAGAGTGATGGTTTACATTTTGAATTACTCATTACATTAAGTTGATGTCCTGAGACTCAGGCCTGGCCACCATACAAACATGCACTGGTATGCTTAAAACTTGGCCATATCATTCCTATTTTGATATTCCTAGCAACTGAAAAACACAACAAATCGATTGAAGTGAGTATCTACACAAGGTTTTTGGTTGAATGTGTTTTAACAGCATCCTTCATTCTGACTGCCTGCTATGTGTCATATAACGTAATCAGGGTCAGGATCAGAAATAATTTTAGTAATCAGTGAAGAAAAAAAAAGAGCAATGCCGTATTCTTGTAAATTTTCAGAGCTTATTGATTCAGATAAAGATGACCATTGCGATAAACCCAGTGCAACTCCATGTCCCTTTCCCACACTCTCCACAATGCCTGTTTTATTGCTTCTTTAATAGATCTTCTGAATAAAAAAACTGCAATATGCTTCTGTCTTTACATTTCAGTGTACACTTCATTTCACTCGCATGTAGCTGAACCGTGTGGAGACATACAGAAATACAGATATTGAATTGGATTCAAAACAGTGACCTGTTTTGCTTGTAGCAGTTGCTAAACTTTATTTCTGAAGTACCATTTCCCATACAAACTATACTTTTTGCCCATTGTTAAAAGTGTACAACATGACATTGATTTCCAGAAAATAACAGGAGTTCCACGAGTGCGTAACTCCAAAAGAGTGGTGTCAATACAGGGGCATTTACAAACAAAAATAAAAAATTGTATTATGTAAAACAATAAACAATAAACATCAGCGCTAAAAAATGAAGCATTGTTTTCTCTATAAAGACAAGTTCCCAGCACATTTTCAAAGTTCATCTATTCAGATGAATAGTCAAATGACTGAGAAGCCTGTTTACATTGCACTCTTCACCTGGAACATGATTATCGTAGTTACATAGCCACTTAATACCTGAGCAAAGGGACAGTTAAGATAAAGCCACAGCTAACATCCAAGCACAACATAACGTTAACTCAGAATCCTAAGATCCATCCATGTGGACTAGAATCGCTCTCCAAAAAGGAAAACTCAGTCTCTTTTTTTCTACTTTTGGTCTTGTGAGCTTTGGTTGAGAGAATTGACCCCAAGGGAATTATTTCCATGAGCAAAGATCATTCTTATAAATTTAGTAAAATCAGTTTGTGTGCCTGGACTCCCGTGAGTGCTGGATACTCCCTGCTGGTACTTGTAGATTTCTGCTTGTAAATACCGTTCTGGATTCAGCAGTCCTCAGCTGAAGCATCATTTCAATTTTAGACTATTTTGCATACCTGGAGAGTAAAATGTCACTTTTCCATGGAAACACCTATTTACATTGTTTTGGTTTGGGTTTTTTTACATTCTCAACTACCATCAAGCTTGTGCAATTGTTAATACAAGTTGAGGGAATTCCCTTTATGTTCCCTGGACAAGCCTGCTTCGCTCTGCAGGAATACTGCACCTTTATGAGGGCTGTCCAGCAAGTCCGGGGCTGTTACTAGCAGGCCAAATTGCAGCACTATCCCCACATTAGAAATAGTTACAATCCTGCAGGTGGAACAAATTCACCATAGAAATGAGCAATCCCTCTCCCAAAAAAGACAACTGGTGGGAGGAAAAAAAAAAAAAAAAAGGCTTCACTACCACAAAAGACAGGGAAGTGGTAGCATTTCCAGGTATTTTTAAATGGTATAAACCATCAAAAGCGGTAAAGATATCTGAAATCAGAATCTTTCCAAATGAATACACGTTTCGCCCTGGTTTCACCCCGAGGAGCACTGTCAGACAAAATCCTAGAAGCCTATTTTCAGCAGGGGGGAAGCACAGAAATACCAAAGCAGGGTTCTTTTAGGTATAGAAACTGTGAGGATTTAAACAGCGGGAGGAGAGTTAGCTCTGCATTTGATCTGGTTTTCCCCATGGAGGGGCAGTGATGGGTTTGCTCTCCCTTTGCCTGCCTCACTAGGGTGAGCAGGCATGGCTGCCCCAGCAGGCAAGGCCAGCTCTATCTCCCAAAGTAAACAGGAGGAGAGGCTCTTGCCTCCCGCACTGGTGGGACAGAGGCTCTGCCTGTCTCGTCCTTGCAGCCAAGCAGTCACTCTTCAGCAGGAGGAAAAGAGAAAGCCAGAAATGTAGTCAAAGGTAGTAAAGGCAAGCATGGACGAAAATGAGCCAAGCCTTCCCCACCCCTCACCCCATGCATTCATTGTCCAGGCACCAGAGCTTCACTGCTAATCCCCCTTCCCCCAAGGGTACTCCACTCCTTCCATGAAGCTATCAGTCATCTTCTTCATTCAGGATTTCCTGTCCTGCTCGCATTTGTTGGCATTTGACAATTCTCCACAGCTTTGCTAGTCACGTTCCTAAAAGACACCACATCCTGGAGTTCCTTTGTGGTTCTTGTTCTTTTCTGAAATCCTCCCTCCCCAGTTTGCTGGGTAATGGGGGTATTCAGCATGCCTTTGTGCTGTGAGGCACAGAAACATGTAAAAGTCCAGTTCACAGGTTTTAAGGAAGTGGGAAGAAGCAGGGGTGAAGCTCTGAAAATCCATGATCCTCTAAAGTGCAGGGCTTGCTTTTGCTAAAGCTCCAAATGCAAGCCCAGATCTGTTGGAAAAAACCAAATCCTGTAGATTTACACTGCTGTCTGTCCTGCACACACCCAGGGCTACACAGCAAGTCTTGGGATCCTCTATTTACTCTCAGGTTGTACAGAGCTGGCTTCAATAACGTAGGTGGGGGCACACTTCAGAGACAGATCCTTTGAAAAAGGAAAAGTGTCAAAGAGTCTGAGGGCTGTTTTTTTGAAATCCTTCTATAAAACAGTGGTCTGTTCCACTCACCCTGAGGTTACAGCAGAAGTCCAAAAGAAACTGCTGAAGGGCAATGTGCCCTTCCCTCCTCCTGCCATCCCTAGTCAGGTCTGATCCTACAGCTTTTGCCATCCTCTTGTATGACAGGGACCCAAGTTTAAGGTCTTCGCAGCCCTGCAAATACATAACCAGCGAAGCAGTGGCTAAGAGGACAGGCACATCCTGAAGGAGGGCGTAGCATTTGGAGCTGCAGCTCCACCTTTAGATGGAGATCAGCATCAGAAACACCACAGCGGGAAAAGCACCCGTGGCAGCCGGAAAGCTTGAATCTGCACACAGTAAAGGTAGCAAACTCTTGCGGTGGTGGGGTGGACGCTGCTGGGCAGTCCCTGAAGCAGACCCCGATGGCAGCCGCTGGCATGGCTACCTGGGTCTCCCCAGACCAGACCTGCCCCTTGTGCACTCCAGCAGTTTTCTAGTAACATCATCTTCCAGTAACATAATTTTCCAGTCTCAGAACACTCACTGAGTGTAATGCTGAAAGACACCTCTCTTGCTCCCCCAGACCGTCTCCTCTTTCCTGGCCCCCATTTCAGTGGCTCGGGATGTTTACATCACCCAGAAAACTGGTCAGCCTTGACCCAGCTGCTGTCCTCACTGCCCCAGAGGGTGACGTCTGTCCATGCCGCCACCACTCTCTGCAGAAGCGGTCCAGAGGCTCCAGGGGGACAGTGGGGACCTGCTGCCCTGCAGTGGGCACAGCCAGGCCAGGAGGCACCTTCCCAGCTCTGAGGGGCTGTGGAGATGCCTGTGGCATTGACGCACCTGACACAGGCTTCAGAGGAGGAACGGAGTCTGGAGGAGGAAGCTCAAGTGGAAGTGGGGAATATGAAGGGAGGATTTTCCCAATGGGGTGCACCCAGGTCTGGGGGGAAAGAAGGGAGCTGCAGGGGATAAGGGGCAGGACCGGGGGGATCTCAGCAAGAGGTGCTGATGCCCAGCAGGTGGGCAGGGATGCGGGCAGCTAGCAGGCAGGCCAGCACAATGCCGATGAGCTGCAGCAGTGCCAGCCCCAGGGCAGCCGTGGCAACATAAAACATGTTGCTGCTGACAAAGGCCGACACCTTGCTGAAGCAACCGTCGTGGTGCAGCCCGTGTGCGTTGGGCGGGCTGCACTGGCAACCCCGGCGGGCCCGGCAGCAGCTGAGGGGCACCGAGCCGTTTTGCTCCAGCCCCCAGGGCGAAGTGAGCCAGTCGCGGTAGCTCTCCACACCACAGCAGGACAAGGCACGCTGCAAAGCGTCCAGGGCATCCGCCATCCCCTCATCCTCTCCGTAGGCGAGCAGGGCCTGGCGCAGCCCTTCCCGGAAACCCTGCGCAACGTTCTGGCGGTAGAGGAGCGCCGAGAGCCCTGCCGTCAGCCCGGCCGCCAGCACAGCGGTCAGGAAGGCGCTGTAGGCGCGCAGGAGGCCCCGGTGCTCCGTGGCGGCGCCGAAGCAGCCCAGGAAGCCCCAGATGATGACGGCGGCGCCGGTGGTCAAGAGGACGGCGGGGGCGCTGGGGTAGTCGTTGGCCGACAGCACTAGATAGCTCCCCAGAGACACCTTGGCCCAGAGGCCGATGATGAGCATGGTCAGCCCCGCTGCCCAGAAGAC